CGGGCGTTGTCGTGCCCGTTCAAGCCGAGAAGACGCAAATCATCCGCTTTCTCTGCTGCTTCAACAAGGGCCAATGCGATCTGCGCGTCGCGATGGACAAGAACGTGTATGGCCCCGGCGAGGTGCCCCAGGTAGACACATACATCTACCGTAGATTTCAAAACATCCGTGGGATGTCGTCTTGGTATAGATCCACTGCGAGATCCGAAACCAGTCGTCCCGCGACGTCGTTGCGATGCGGTCCGAGCTCGTCCGCGTCGTCGAGGTCCATGCAGATGGCCGGAACCGCGTCCTCCGTAAAACCATTTGCTGCGCAACGTTCCCAGGCGTTCCCGCAGGGCAGTCGCTCTCGCAGCCGCAGTCGTTCCAGCTCATCGGCAACGGCATGTACCCAAGTACGCGAGGACAGATCGTGTCGGCTCGCTACTGCGTCGAAGTGACGTGCGACATTCAGTGGTGCCCGGACGTCGAGCTTCTCCTGCCGATTGCTCTGGGGGCACCCCTCCTCGTCCCTGTCGGAGTGACGCCCACCCCGCTTCAGTAGCACTATTACTACCAGTAAACTGCATTAAGAGAGAAATGAGATCCATGGGGTGTGAGATCTGTCATCCTAAAACACGTGCTGCGTGATACACGTACGATATTGAGAATCGCCATCGCAAGGTTTATATACAAGCAAATTCAATTGTAGACCTTTTATTGAAGCATCGTGTACAGTACGAGGGCACTCGATGCAACGAGGCCGAGGCTCGAGGTCGACGCGGCGTTCGACGTACTTGGCAGCGTGCACTTGTCGCCTTGCGCAGCCGCTTTCAAGTAGTCTTCGTACGGCATATCAGCAAATTGCGCCGTTGTGAGCTCCTTGCCACACATGGTGCCCATCGTGCACGGCGGTGAGATGGCCTTGGAGGCTTTTTGGATCGTCTTGAACGCCGCCGCGCAGCTCGGACTCTTGGCAAACTTTTGGACTTGGGCCGGTGTCGCCTGATCCACCTTGTTGGCCGCAATGTCTTCAAGCGAGATGCCAACGTCTTCGGCGCACTGAAGAAAGCTCGGCGCCGCCTCCTTGATCGCACTCGTGTACGCAGAGCCAAAATCGCTGCCGGTGCACATGGCAGCTGCCGCCACCGACGCGCACGTTGCAAGCACACAGATCTTGATCGGCATCATTGAATTTGTCGTTGGGGTGGTAAAGAGGAAAATGAGAAATGATGCTCAGCAATGCACTGGCAGTGACTGGCAGTCGAAATCGGAGTAGAAATGTGCAATGCCAATCCAGGAGAAATATTAAAATATTGCGACACATGTGTGGTCTCCGGATTCATAAAGAAGAGAGTTAGGTAGGAGTGTCCCGCTGTCCCACTCTCGATTGTTGTCAATTGCGTAGGTGTACTGGATTGTAAATCCGTGGAAAGCAATGTCTCTGTCGAGTTCAAAGAGACATTACTTAAGACCGAATGGTGTCGTCAAATCATTGCATTACTACACCACTCAATATAATGTCTCGTCTCAATCCATAGTACTGGTACATGTACCTCGCCCAGCACCATGCTACTACTAAAGTACCATGTAATGCAGTGAGCGCATGGAATGCTTCAACTCGAATGCGTTTGTGCGCATTTTCAACACATCGCAGCGCCAACAACTCCACATTCCCTTGTTCATGCAACACTTGTATCTGTGAGCAACAACGCCATATGGTCCGGCTACAAAAGCTCGCTAGAAAAGAGGCCTCGAGCTGCAAGGCGACCTACCGGTGCACGGATGTGCTTGGACAAAACCGATAACATGTACACGGAATAGGGTGCGTTCGCATAGTCCACCGCCTCGCTGCACGCTACGTCGCTATCCAACCTTGGATAACCCAGGTTGGATAGCTATCAACTGCCCTAGCCCGCGGATGGAGTTTGGACGCTTCTGACATCCAGTGCGGGAGGAGCGAGTACGGCACATCGCAGGATGTCACGATTGGATGGGGCGACGCTGGCACGAGCGTCGCTGCTTGCACGTGTCGTGGGCCGACGGTGTCTCGCGTTATGAGCCATGCGTGTACTTGGTTGCGTGTCAAGCACGACCAATCACAGAAGCGTACCAGGCTTTTCACCGTTCGCCGTTCGCCATTTTCAAAATCTTTCCAGC